AAATCTTTAATAAAAATATATGAAAAAAACAAACAAATATGTTGTGAAGCTCCCAAATGGTTGTTTCGAATGCCAGTCCTACTCAGTACATGCCCATTGAAGTTAATGGACACGACTAACTTAGATCCTTTAATTCCAGTGGGTCTACCCCAAATTCTAATAGCAAAACCAGACGCCTTCATCTGTCCCAGCTGCAATAAAGAATACATCCCCTGTATTGGTCCAGTGTTTTGTCCAGCTATGCTTTCCTTGCCTGTTGTGATCCTACTTAGGGTGACTCAACTTAGTCCTACTGAATGTGACTCTGCTTTTCTGGATGAGACCCCTGTCCTTCTAGCAAGTAAGGATGTTGATAGACATAATTTCCTTTCCACTCTGTATTCATCACTTGCAGCACTGCATCTGTGCATCTTCCACAAAAGCAGTGCTATTTTTTCTAGAAAAAGGGGTGCCGGAACTCACCAAGAACACCTCCCTTGTTCTCTCTCTCTCTCTCTCTCTCTCTTTATTTTTTTAAAAAATAATTTTTATTATTTTTTCATTAATAACAATCCAATGGAGGCCACATGAATACAACGCCAAATCATGCCAAATCACAATACAATCAAAAGTGCCAATTAAACAGTTCCGAATTAAACATTTTTGGATGACTTCCCATGTTCCGGCTATCAGGAGTTGATGTTATTCCTTGATCCTGTGCCAATTCTCTTAATTAGTCCAAGTTCCACAATTCTGGTCTTACTCCTTTGTTCTAGCAGCACTGATGTAATGACTATTGACTGTATTTTTATAAATGCATATCCATTAACTTGCAGAGGAAATTTATATCCTGTAGCTGTGTGAAATATTTGTTTACCTTCTTCTTTTCTTCATGTTGCAATCAGTCAACTTTCTTCAACATTGCCCCTTCTTCGAGAACTCATTTATAATTACGCCACAACTTCTCCATTTTGCTTTGAAACCAAAAGCAATCCAGCGCCCAGCCGAGACTTCTGGACCACTTCCAGTGTTTATCTCCTTGTTTCTTCTAACAAGCTGGCACCTCACCCAAATTGTAATAAATCACAACTAGAGCTCTCTTTGGGTGGCGCTGTGGTCTAAACCTAGGGCTTGCCGATCAGAAGGTCGGCGGTTCAAATCCCTACGACGGGGTGAGCTCCCGCTGCTTGGTCCGTGCTCCTGCCAACCTAGCAGTTCGAAAGCACGTCAAAGTGCAAGTAGATAAACAGGTACCACTGCGGCAGGAAGGTAAACGGCATTTCCATGTGCTGCTCTGGTTCGCCAGAAACGGCTTATTCATGCTGGCCACATGACCTGGAAGCTGTACGCCGGCTCCCTTGGCCAGTAAAGCGAGATGAGCGCTACAACCCAGAGTCGTCCACGACTGGACCTAACGGTCAGGGGTCCCTTTACCTTTTAGAGCTCTCTTTAGTTGGCAATGTTACAAGTCGTCACAGAATTCCACACAGTCTGTTCTTTCAAGCATTCCGTAAAGAAAACCATAAGTTCTTGTTAAATCCCTCTGCATTCCATACATAGCTGTAATCCATTAGTAATTTCACTCCATTGATAATTGATTCTTTTTCGGTGAAGGCTTGCCAATTCATAGCACAGCAAAAAATAATGTAAAGACAGAACAAAGGCTCCCCTTCACTTATATATTATTCCAATTACGAGTGCTCTCCAGATCAAAACCTTGGCACTCAGTGGCTGATTCATTTTGCAGGTTCTCTTTCTCTTTCTTCCAAAACAGGTCTGTTTCTGAAGTCCAAATTCAGATATATCTTAGAAGAAACAGTTACCTCTGCCCAAGGCGACCACATTGGGGAGCTTCCAATACATGCATTCACTCGGCATCCCTGCCCCCACATCCCATCGGTGCGAGAGGCAGTTATCAAATGATCTGCAAGAGAAAGCTCTCCCCCCGCCCGACCTGGGAGGGGGGGCTTGCAAGGATAATTACTCCCAAATTATCCTTAATTAACTGCGTGGCTGGCATCCGCTACCATGGGATTGGCAGTTTGCCATGGCGGCTGCGCCAGAAGCCCTCCCTTGTTCTCTTATAATGGCAATGGTGCCCACCTGAGAGGTGCCAGAACTTGAGTTCAGGCTGAAAAAAAGCCTTGCACAAAAGCCCTGTTATTTGTCTTACATAATTATGGAAGTTACTTTGTAATTACCTTATCAAAGTCCATTCAATGAAAAGAAAGGCAATGCAAATGGGAAAAAATACATAATCAATTATATATCACTTTCAGACTCAAAGCAACAGCAGCAGCAAACACCAGTCATGTTTGCTGGATTGATTTCTCTTCTAGCTATCACCATCATTTTCTTTATAAGCTGCTTTCCCATCGCTAAAGCTATGTTGAAGGTGGCTTACAGCAGAAAAAGATTCACATAATTACAAAAGTAGCCATAAAATAAATAAGACACATCAAAAAGTACACAGCAAAATCGAACCATTTCCATATAAATCATAACAACACTTAAAAATAAAAGAATATATATAAATAACAACATTATATCAACAACTCCCTCAACAATAATACTCCAGCCCAAGAGTCTGTTGAGCAACCTCAGCTTTTGTAGCTGCAGTCAGTCAATGCCCTGCCCTCCCAGACCAGGTGGGAAAAGGCTAGCAAGGCAGGGAACAGAATTTCCAGGACTCGCAGCTGGGATGGTTGATGGATATAGGATGAATAAGCGAGCATTAGCAATTTCAAATGCCATTTCAATTTTTGTCAGATTTCTCCAACAGGCAGGGCTGGCCCAATACGTTTTGGCACCTGAGGTGAACTACAGAATCACCCCTCCCCCACCTCCTCAGTTTAGGGTGAGATGCAGGTGATGGTGTGGAAGAAATTTGCTTTATCTGAAAAAAGTACAAAGCTAGACTCCGGTGCACACCACTCTGTAGCCAGCACACAATGAAGCACACAAAAGTCAAGCTGTAGTGTTTTGTGCCCTCAGAAACTTTCAAGAGGTTACCTGCTTTTTTAAAAATATGTATTTTTATTAAAGATTTTCTTGGTTTACAAAAGTATGTGCAATCTCTCTCTCTCTCTCTCTCTCTCTCTCTCTCTCTCTCTCTCTTCCCCAAGTAACATTTTTTACAGATCAGTTTCATTTGTTGAGACATTAGAAAGAAGAAGGGGAAAGAGGTGGGGGGGAGGTGAGTGGGGGTGGGGTCAGGTGGCATTGTTTCTATTATACTTAATATATGTGGGGTTTTGTGTCAGCATCGCTTGTGCAGGGTCTCTGCTGTTCACTTGTGCTCCTTTGGTGGTGAGAGAGGTTGGGGTTGGCCTAGGGTGTGGTTGTTTGTTTGTGATTGGCTGTGGTGATCTTTGTTTTCATGTGTGAGTGGGGTGGGTGGGTGTTTTGGATCAGGTTAGCCATATTGATTTGTATGCTGTTGGTGGATTTTTGTCATTGTCTTGTTGGACCATACCAGGGTAAAGGTGTCTTCTTCTGTTTGTCCCCATGTCAGTTTCAGTTTATTGGTTAATTTTTCTAGAAGGGCTGTTTCCCATCCTATTTGGTACCATTGGTCCATGCTTACTCCTGACAGGTCTCTCCAGGTTATGGTGTTTCTGGCTGCTGAAATGTTTCTGGCTGGTGTAAATGGGCATTATTGTCTTGGAAGATGTTTAGTAGGGCCAATTCTAGGGAATTCTAGGGAAGGGATGATTTCTAATACTTGTTTAGTTATTTTACATATTTCTTGTATGGCTGTTGTCCAGAATAGTTGTATTTTGGGGCACTCCCACCACATGTGGAGGTATGTGCTTGTGAAGGTGCACCCTCTCCAGCATTTTGGTGAGGTTCCTGGGCATATTAGAGCTAGTTTTCTTGGTGTTAGGTACCACCTGAGGTCACCTGCTTTTAGCATTCCAATTTTCAGACCCACCCCACCTACCCAATGCACCCAATAACATGCTCAGATATCAGGTTCAAATCCCAGCTTGTAAAGCCTTGAGCCAATTGCAACCTCAGCCTAACCTAGGCCACATGATTATTGCAAGGGGAAAAAATATGCACAAGCGAAGGCACCCTCTCCATGAGCTGCTTCTCTCCCCTGAGCAACAAGAGAGGCAGCGGACAGGCAGGGAGTAGGCAAGCAGCAAAGGAGAGCTCACAGACAGAGAAAGAGGCAGCTATGGCAGAGGCAGCAATGGGTGGATCCGCCGCCACTCACAGGGGGTCTAGATCTGCCACTGAAGCAGCATGCTTCATTCTGTGTCATGCAAAACATCCCTGCTAGTAAATAGCACTGATTTTAACCCAGGCTTCCCGGACAGCCTTAAGCTGAACTGGGCACAGCCCAGAGAACATGCAGTTAGCTTCACATGCCCTGTGGTGCATTGGCCTTCCTCTTTTGCAAACAGCAGTCTCCAGTTCCCAACTCAGAGAAGTTTCGAAAGCAGTCTCGGATATGGAGATAAGCTGTTCAAAGCGGGAAACTAAAATGTCCCATTGAACTGTTCCCTGAACTAGCTCTCTGGATTTTGGCCGAGAAGAGCATTCCAAGGTCAGTTTCACTTTCTTTTTTCTGATTACGAAGAAAATTCCCAGAGGTCAAACTCTAGTTCTCTGGAACTTGCTAGTACATCTGCCTGGCAGTAAGATCCACAACATGTTAGTTTCCTATCCAAACAACAAGTCAGGTCAAGGACACTTTGGTCTTCTACCCCTGAGCAGCAGAACTGCGCAAACAGGAAAAAGCTTGCTGTCTAGCTTGCCAGGTTTTGTTGATAGCAAGTACCATAATTCTTACAGAATAATGTCTAGATAAAGCTGTCTCTTTCACTGAAGTCCTGCTAATTATGAAGAACTACAACAGCAAACAGGAGAAAAAGTTTGGCTTCACCTATTTCAGTATTCAAATACATTTTAGAAACGTTTGTTAAATGCTAACCTGTAAGGCACATTGCCCAATCCACTCAGTTGCATTTTTTTCTGGGGCTGAGAGGATAGGCAAAGGTTCTCTGTTTTTTTATTTGACTCTTGCATTTTCCCAAAGCCCAGCCCTTATGGACTGTTGCTGCTTTCCTAATAGTTAATCGGGAGATGGGCTTTGACTCCTTCAGCCTATAAAAAGGGAAAGAGCAGCTGAGAGAAAAGGAGAGAGGACCAAGTTCTTCTTCATCCAGCCAAGACAAGCTTACTTAGGGGCACAAGGTAAGATATTGTTTTGAACAGTGCCTTGTGATTCTAATCAGCTGCTGATCAAGGGAAGGATCTGTCTGAGATAAACAAGGATCCTTCTTGCCTTTTGTGCTTTTGGTGCCGCTAGTATAGTGTTGGACGAATTTCTCAATTTTTGTTTTTCTTTCCTTTCTTTTTTAAAAAAAATCTTAATGAAAGGTTTTATTTTAATGCAATTTCCCTCTAATATACATACTCTTGAAAGCAGTTCTGCCTCATATACATTTCCCTTAATGCAGTGCACTTTTGTATCTTATTTTCACTAATATATGCTATCCTTATGCACACTTTATCCAAGTATATGCATTTTTGTACATGCCCCTTAGCTAGAGAAGTGCAAAATTCAATGAATGGTTGTGATTTGGTTCATGTATTGTTTTGGAGAGTGACAATTTAGTCACCCATAAATGCGAACTGAATGGAACTTCTCCCCCATCCCTGCACTGGTACTAGTTAGTCCAGAAGACATATAACTGAAGAGGGGCTGCAGGGGGTGGGCAGGCCTTCAAAAAGCTGCTTTAGGGGAAATAAGATCTGCCAGCTCTGATTGCTGTATCTTCTGCTTTGCTGTTCATGTGATCTCGTCCATTTGATTTTCTCCTGATTGGTTTCTCTCTTAAACCAAGCTTTCTGCTTCTAATTTTATTTTAAATGACATTTGGGTGCAAGCCTCTCTGGGGTGAGCCACCAAGAAAACTTTCCTCTAGTCACCATTTGCTTTAGCACAGATAGTGAGGGCTTAGAAGACTTTATCTGCGAAGAGGCAGAAGAAAGTTGGGCAAAGTAGTCCTTCAGGAAGGCCTCTAGGTCCCAAACTGTTTGGTGCTTTAAAGGCAAGCTGCACTACTGGAATTGTGCCACAAACCAGACTGGGAGCCATTGTGATTGTTTACACACAGCCACATTACGTTGTCATCTGCTGAGCATGGTGGCTTAATTTTGAACCAACTCCAGTTCTCATCCAGTGTCTGAAGGCAACCCTTCATGCAACACATTGCAGTAGATTAATGAATCAGAGGCGGTTTTAGGGCAGCACGGCCGGTTTGGCCGCACTGGGTTGCAGGTGCCATGGGGGGGGCAGGGCACCGATCCGCAACAATGATGTCAAATTGAGCATGAGAGGTGGGGGGCACCGAATCTTAGCACTACAAAGGGCGCCGCTGAAATTTGAGAGCCCAAAGTTTGCCACCGAATGAATGCCTGATGCATAGTGTTCTGAAAAAGGACTGTTAAAGGACAGTTCACACTCTTGTCAAATTTCTGAAAAGTTATTGTTACGACTGAATAGTTGGAATCTCCCAGTAGAATTCAAAGCAGTGATACGTGAATAGCCTATCAGTGTAAGGATTTCTGCTTGTGCAATGGAACATTCTCCCCCTCTCCTGCCCCTGCCCCATCCCTCACAAATCTGTTCTAGGCATTCATCCAAACCTCTAGGGCAGATTTGTGGGGAGGAGGGGAGAGTTTGGTTGTACAAGCATTAATCTGTGTGGCGACGGAGGAAGTGCTTTGGAAACTGCCCTGTGTTTCATGTTGTAGGAAAGGCAACGTGGTCGGATTTGTATTTAGAGTTGCATAAAACAATCTGTCTTACTTCTTTCCTATATTCTTTTGCAGATATGACAATGAGGTTTTTGTTCCTCTTGACTGGTCTGGCACTATTGAGTGGTAAGTAAACTGGACCAACGGCCACCTCCTCATTTTGGGGATGGCCAGTAAGGGAGCATGCGCTTTCATATGGCCTGGCACGGTGAAAATTTACTACACAAATGGATGTGAAAAGGGGATGCTGGTATTCGTTCAGTATGAGCCACTTCCTTAAAAGTTATTTAATTTTTTTAAAAAATGTTTCTTATATAAAGCTACACAGTCATCATTGAAAGACATTTGCATGAACCATCCCCTCTTATTGTTTATACTAATTTGTTGCACCATGAGGGGAATACTGGCTGCCAACATGGGGCTCAACCCTGGCCAGTTTAAGAGTCTCACACTCTACCAACTGAGCTATCTCTCATGACAAACCTGGGTCCTAGTTTCATGAGAGAGGGAAGTAAATTTCACTATCCACTTTCTCCATGTGATTATTCAGATGCTCATAGCTGTATGGGGTTCTTCCCCAGTACATATTATTCCAAATGTGGCCACACCATTCCATATATATTTGTGAACGAGACTTGCGATACTATTTTCGATCCGTTTCTATTTTCCTCCTCTCAGGGCCGTGTACAGCAAGTTCCCAAGGAAAGGAGTTTGTCACAGCCTTCATGCTCAACATCAAACAGAATCAACGCAATACTAAGCTTGAGTTGCTCATCACTGGGTACCATCCTGCAACCACCGTCACGGTCACATCAAACAAAGCTACATTCCAGAACACCGTTCCTGTCAATGAAGGGGAAACTGTGTCCATTGAGCTTCCAGCTTCCGCAGAGATGGTGGGGACGGACACCTTTGACAGGGCTGTGACGATCCGAGCAAACCATGACATCTCTGTCTTTTCCCGCAGCCACAAGGACTATTCAACTGGTGCCATGGTAGTGTACCCAGTCGAGCAACTGGGCACGTTGTATTATGTGGTAACCCCAGTGGGTGAAATGGCAGACACTTTCAAGGAGTTTGCGGTTGTGGCCTATCAAGCAGCCACTAGGGTCGACATCCATTTGACGGGGTCTGTGACATTCAAAGGACATGTTTATCCCGCCGGGAGCATTCTGGTTGTTAACCTCAAGGCCTTCCAAGCAATCCAGCTGCAAAGCTTGCAGGATCTATCGGGCACCAAGGTTGAATCAAGTGGACCTGTGGCTGTCTTGAGTGGGCACAGCTGTGCCAAGAACCACACACACTGTGACCATGTTGTCGAGCAGCTCCTGCCCGTTTCACGCTGGGGTGCCACCTTCCTTGTGCCCCCAGTGTCCTTCCAGAGCAGATATGATATGGTGTATATCGTTGCATCCCAAAACACTTCAGTCACATATCAATCTGGACCCATAGCAGGAAACTATAATATGAGAGCTGGAGAAGCTATTCAGTTGAGCATTCAGCCCTCTCGGGCACTTTACATCTCAGCTGACAGAGGAATCCAAGTCCTTTTCTTCTTTACTGGTGCATCAAGAGGAAGCACGATCTATGACCCATTCCTCATCAATGTTCCTCCACTGACAAGCTCCTGTAGGTCATACCGCATTGAGGGAATGGCCGGGTTTGATAATTATGCAGTTATTATAGCCAAAACCTCAGAAACCGGTGAGATCACGTTAGAGAAGAGGGCCGTTGAAAACATCCAGTGGAGACCAATCCCGGCCACAGAATACTCCTCTGCTCAGCTCAGTTTGGGCAGAAAAGCTAGTTCCCTCTCCCTGGAGCACCCCAGCACTCCTTTTGGACTCTTCATTTTTGGAGGCTCATTCCGCGATGGCTATGGCTCCATAGCTCTTTGCTCATCTGGTAAGTACTGAATAGGCTGCTAGGGAATGAACAAATAGTTGACAATAGTCTTGACCAGGCTTCCTCAACCTCGTTCCTCCAGATGTTTTTGGCCTACAACTCCCATGATCCCTAGCTAGCAGGACCAGTGGTCAGGGATGATGGGAACTGTAGTCTCAAAACAACTGGAGGGCTGAGGTTGAGGAAGCCTGGTCTTGACTCTTGGATAGGCGTACTTGCAAAAAATTCTGTGTTGTTTTTCTGCCTCGAAAATGCCCCCCACAGCCACTGCTTCTCCCTTCTACTGCAACTCTTTTCTTTTCCTGCCCTATTCTTGACTGTAATCTGTATGTGGCTCCTTCACTTTGGAATCCCACAGACGAAATTATTGCCACATTTGAACTAGGGATGGGGGGAGAAATTCAATTTGATCACATTCAAAGATGAACCCACATAATTTACCCTTTCCGGAACAGTACATGAACCAAAACACAACTACCCATTGGAATTCACACTTCTTCAGATTTTGCGTTGCAGTCCCCCAACCAACACATGTTTACAAAAATGCATAGGATAAAGTGTGCACATAAGTGTACACATGCTTTTGGTGACACAATATCATTCATGAAACCTTCATTTGTAGATAGGTTCTGTGGAAAATGTGACCAATTTTACATAATAATGCTAAGGGTGAAAAAAGTGCAGTCAGCTGTCCAAACAGTTGCCACAAATATTCCCATGCCACAAAAGCACAAATGATATAAACATAAGGCTAATGTCACAATTTGAAGACTGCTAATTGGAGCCCCATCTGGCAGTTCCTGTTTGTACCCAGTTTATTTCCTGTGCCACTGGGCTACAATGAATTAAAGTGCTGGGGCACAAAACTACAAGCCAATAAGTCAATAGAAAAATGTTCCTCAGAAGTGAAGGAATTTTGAATGACTAATTGTTGGAAGCCGCCCAGAGTGGCTGGGAAAACCCAGTCAGATGGGCACGGTATAAATAAATTATTATTATTATTATTATTATTATTATTATTATTATACTGAGAACTCACCTGACCATTTTTTTATCAGTGTTTGATCCAGACACAACCGTGGCTCCATTATCCTGCCCTGAGAACAGCCACTTTGAGGCCTGTGGAAGTGCCTGCCCAGCCACCTGCTCTCACAGAACTGCTCCCTCTGAGTGCACAGAGACCTGTGTGGAAAGCTGCCAGTGCAATAGAGGCTACGTCCTCAGTGCTGAGAACTGCATCCCAGTGGAGAGCTGCACCAACACTTCTATGGGTATGAACTGCAATGCAGGGCGGGAGTCCTGGGCTCATGAAGACAGCCAGACTCTCTGCAAGCATTACGCCAAATTACATAGGGAGTATAACATTTGACTGCTGAGACCATATAACACCAGTCTTTGAAAGACCTACATTGGCTCCCAGTACATTTCCTAGCACAATTCAAAGTGTTGGTGCTGACTTTTAAAGCCCTAAACAGCCTCAGCTCTGTATACCTGAAGGAGCGTCTCCATCCCCCATTATTCAGCCCAGACACTGAGGTCCAGCTCCGAGGGTCTTCTGGCAGTTCCCTCCCTGCAAGAAGTGAAGCTTACAGGGAACCAGGTAGAGGGCCTTCTTGGTGGTGACGCCCGCCCTGTGGAATGCCCTCCCATCTGACGTTAAGGAGATGAGGAAACATCTGAAGGCAGCCCTGTATAGGGAGTCTTTTTGAGGTTTAATGTTTAACTATGTTTTTATATATGCTGGAAGCTGCCCAGAGTGGCTGGGGCAACCCAGTCAGATGGGTGGGGTGTATAAACAACAACAACAACAACAACAACAACAACAACAAACAACAGCAGCAACAACATTATTGACTGGAAGGAAAGAGGGACTTTTACTCCCTCAACCTTTCCGGCCTTACTGGAGCCTTGAATTACTTTGCTTTTCTTGATTTTTAAAATATGTGATCACACCTGACTACTTTTGAACATTGCTTTCCTTCAGCTCCCACTGACCCCCCAATAGACTGTCCTGAGAACAGCCACTTTGACACCTGTGGGAATCCCTGCCCAGCCACTTGTTCAGACAGAACTGCTCCCGATGAATGCACAGATGACTGTGTGGAAATCTGCCAGTGCGATGAGGGATACATCCTTAATGATGAGAAATGCGTCCCAGTCGAGAGCTGCCCCAGCACTTCGACAGGTATGGACTGCAATGCAGGGCAAGAGTTCTGGGCTGATGAAGACTGCCACATTATTTGCAATTGCTACCCTAAATTAGGGACGGTTGTGTACAAAAAGACTTTTTGTGAGACCAAGAAGAAAAGCCTCAGGCACTGTAGGGGATGGAGGCTGTGAGCATTCAGAAGTAGCTCTGCTGCCAGAGCTGGGTTAGGAGAGGCGCGAATTGAGGTGTTCAGAGAATCAAGTGAGGCCAATTTGAGCCCTTGCGGGTGTCAAGCCTAGCCTGCAATTTAGCTTGATACCAGTGGCTCTCACGTTTTCAACTCAGTTGCTGCCTCACAAACCAAGACACAAAGGACTTTTTCACCCTGCCATCCTTAATTAGAACAGCAACTGCAGGCAAGGGTTTTGTGGGCGGCAAAAAGGAATCAACTTTGAGGTCATTCTGTGGGTGCAACCTTTTCTTGCATATGCCACCTCCTTCCAAGGTCAACAGGCTTCATTTTGGGAAGATGTCAACTCCTGCCTGCATGTGTTAGCTTCATGGTCCATGGGCCCCTGTCCCTGAGGTCACATGGCTTCCCCTGTCCCCAACCTCCATGAGTAAGGTATGAACATCTGTCTGATGCATGGAGATTGTGGTATTCAGTGACCACAGGGGAATAAAGCAATAGGCATTCCACTATCCCTGCCTAAATCTAATTGTTTGTTTTTTACAGTCCTGAGCCACATGCAAATCAATTTCATTGAGAAGGCCTAGTTTCACTAACATGGGAGATATTTTTTTCTCCCCACTTTCCCTGCATTTTAAAAATACCAAATATATCATGTCCTCATATGCAAGGTACTTCTGACACTTCAACTGTTTCAGCTTCCACTTTTTGTCCTTTTCCTTGCTCCAGGATGGCCCTTTTGCGGCACGGCAACTAGAACACTATTATGCATTAAAAATCTATCCCACCTATTTCTCCAAAGAGATCCAAGAAGCCTAAGAAACAATACAAGAAACAGAGCAGAACAAAATTCCTAATATTCATTCCAGTTAATAAATTAGCAACCCTTTTAACAAATCTCAATAACCCCAAAACAATGTAGAATGGTGCTAGGAAATTTTACGTAGTATTTTCAATGGCCTAATATAAAAGCCAGGTTCTTAGACACAGTAGAGCGATGGGACCTAATGGAACTTCCTCGACAAGCCATTTAATAAGGTAGGTGCCACAACAAAAAAGACCCTACTAATGGAGCTTTAAGGGACGTGGAAGAAGGCCCTAGATGATTGCAGTACAGTTGTACCTTGGTTGTGGAACAGAATCCATTCCAGAAGTCTGTTCGACTTCTGAAAATGTTTGACAACCGAGGTGCAGCTTCCAATTGGCTGCAGGAGCACACAATTGGAAGCTGTGGAAGCCGCACTAAACATTCGGGTTCCAAATAACATTTGCAAACCGGAACACTCAATTCTGGGTTTTCAGCATTCAGGAGCCAAAAAGTTCAACTTGCAAGGTGTTCGGGATCCAAGGTACGACTGTATAATAAAAGGTTTGACTTGGAAATTTGCTGCAGAGAGTGTGTGCCCCAGAACCATTTAATTCCTGACTGCAGCCTTGAATAAGCTTTGTTTTTCCTTAACTTTTTTTAATTACACCTGACCAGCTTTGATCGTTCTTATTCCTCCAGTTCCCACCTCAGCCCCAGTACCCTGCCCTGAGAACAGCCACTTTGTGTCCTGTGGAACTCCATGCCCAGCTACCTGTTCCGACAAAACTGCTCCCGAAACGTGCAATGATACCTGTGTGGCGGCCTGTCAGTGTGATGAGGGTTATATCCTCAGTGCTGAAGCATGCATCCCAGTGGAGAAGTGCCCTTGCATTTACAAAGGCATGAGCTACAGCAGAGGAGAGGAGTTCTGGGCTGATGAAGGCTGTCATACTCGCTGCAAGTGTGACTCCAAATTAGGGAAGGTTACATGCACCAAGTCCTCCTGTAAGGCCAATGAAAAATGTGCCCTGGTGAATGGCATTTGGGGCTGTCATCCCACCAGCTATTCCACCTGCATAGGAACTGGAGACCCTCACTACACCACCTTTGATGGAAAGAAATTTGACTTCATGGGAACCTGCATTTATCAAATGGCTGGAGTCTGCTCCAAGGACCCCACTCTCACCCCGTTTTTGGTCACGGTGGAGAACAACAACCGAGGCAGCAAGGCGGTGTCCTTCACCAAAGTGGTGACACTAGAGGTCTACAACATGACCATCAGTCTGAGCCAAGAACATCCGCAGAAGATTAAGGTACATATGCCAGGTGATAAGGAAGAGTGGGGCAGATTTAAATTCAGCACTTGATTTTGGGTTCAACCAGCACCTCATTGAGCAATGAGGTCCTCTGGCAGGGCCATTGCATCTGATTCTTAATGTTAGAATGTCAACAGTCTTTCTGTTGTGGTTTACAAGGCTAAAGGATGTGAGGCTAGGACAGGACAATGTGCTGAATGAGGAAATTGTGTTCTGTATTGTGTTATACTGGATACCAGCAACAAGGAAGAAAGATACTAGGCAGTAGCACTGAGGGATGCAGAAATGGAATTAGTTCACATTTAAAGGAGTAGTGCTGTGGGTCAAACCACAGAGTCTAGGACTTGCCGATCAGAAGGTCGGTGGTTTGAATCCCCGTGACGGGGTGAGCTCCCGTTGCTCGGTCCCTGCTCCTGCCAACCTAGCAGTTTGAAAGCACGTCAAAGTGCAAGTAGATAAATAGGGACCGCTCCGGCGGGAAGGTAAACGCCGTTTCCGTGCGCTGCTCTGGTTTGCCAGAAGTGGCTTAGTCATGCTAGCCACATGACCCGGAAGCTGTACACCAGCTCCCTCAGCCAATAAAGCGAGATGAGCGCCGCAACCCCAGAGTTGGTCACGATTGGACCTAGTGGTCAGGGGTCCTTTACCTACCAAATCAGCAGTTTCCGAAACAATATGCAAACTGAAGCACAGTCATCCTTCAGAATTCACACTTCTCCAACCAAATAATGTGTTTAAAAATGCTTTTACTAGGGGAATAAATGCAGATAGTATTGAAAATAACATATGGAAACACATTATATTAGGGGAAATTGCTTGAAACTGTGCGCATTATTCAAAACTGCAAACAAAAATGTGTTTATCGGGAGAAGTTGGCACTAAAATTAGCTTTTTTAAAAAAGATCACAAATTGCTGCAGAAATGTAGAGAACTTGGCATGCCAACCCTGCAGATGTAATGAGGGCCAAAAAGTTGTGTGAGGAGGGAACTATGATTAATATCGTTTCACTGATGTGATTCATAGAATCATAGAATGATCTAGTTGGAAGAAACCACCAAGGTCATCTGGCCTAACTCCCGTGCAATGCTGGAATCTTTTGCCAAATGTGCAGCTTGAACTGACTGAACTACCCCAGATCTAACAAAGCAATTTATAAGCTGCTGGCCTCAAGTTCAGCTCAGACATGCAAATCGGCACCTCTGGTTGCTATCCCATCTCTTGTAGAAATTGCTGATCTTAAATGACTCATTCATATGGTGATTATAATGTGAGAGACATATCGGCTTTCTGCCTCAAGCATGCATGCTACTTTCACAAGCTGAAAAGGCATTAAACATAAAATCTGTTTTCTGGTGCATGTTCTTAATAATTAGGCCATTCCATGGCTTCTTGAAATTGTCATATGACAAATTTTGCCCTGTAAATCTGTCTTAAGTGGGACGGTTTTTCCAAGAGCCCAGAGGTACTAGAGAAGAGCAGTAGATAATCTTGGGTTGAGGCAGTTCAAGCTATCTAAAAGTCAGTGACAAAGTGATACCAGCAACAAGGGCCTGGCGTCTGCTGAGGACCCACAACCCAGCCTGGGTCCACTGACAGCAGCCTCCTGGACCTGCTCCCCCTCCTCACAATGGCTACCTGCTTGTACACCCACCTCACTGTGTATCTGGCCGAGACAAGAGTGGTGATGATTAAGAGGAGCAGTAGACACCACTGCCTGCTTGCTCACTGGCTCTCTGTCAGACAAGCATGGGAGAGGAGCAGCAGGTGGCAACAATGGAGATCAGGTCAAAAACTCATTGAAGGAGGACACACTGAGGGAGAGGGGTATGAGGAGGCCATTTTGCCTAAGAGCCTGTAGAGCCTGGAACCAGCACAGTGCAATAGAACACAGAGGGTTTACAGTGGTACCTCAGGTTACAGACTCTTCAGGTCATAGACGCTTCAGGTTACAGACTCTGCAAACCCAGAAATAGTACCTCGGGTTAAGAACTTTGCTTCAGGATGAGAACAGAAATCGTGCGGTGGCAGCGGGAGCCCCCATCAGCTAAAGTGGTACCTCAGGTTAAGAACAGTTTCAGGTTAAGAACGGACCTCCAGAACGAATTAAGTTCTTAACCCGAGGTACCACTGTATCTCTAAATTTCAAATTCCTGTTTGAATATTCAATAGTAGAAGCAGTCTTCTTTCTTAGCCTCAGGGTTCTGATGATGTCATGTGGGGGCAAGTCATTTCCTTCTCATTGTAGGGCCAGCAAAAGTGAATAAAACCCATAGATTATACAACATATAGCAAGGGTGGAAAATAAGTGGCCTGCCAAGTGTTGCTGAACTACATCCCCCATCATTTCTAACCACTGGCAATGCTGGTTGAGGCCACATGCTGTCCACCCCTGGCATACAGCACAGATTGTGCCTCTCACTAGTGAAAATATGTCCTAGTTGGGTTTTTTTTCCTGAATTTGCTGAACTCTCAGTGTGACAGTGACTTCCATATATTTTCCAGGTGAATGGAGTCTTTGTGGACCTGCCCTTCTCCCATGGAAAGAAACTGAAGGTCTACATCAGCGGAGTCCATGGCTTCATCAAAACAGACTTTGATCTGAGAGTCAGCTTTGACTGGTACAGTTATGCCAGGGTCATTATTCCCAGCACTTATGCCAATGCTGTGTGCGGACTGTGTGGCAATGCTAACCAGGACCCCAGTGATGACTTTGCTATGAAGGATGGAGCTCAGACAACAGATGAAATCCAGTTTGCAGACAGCTGGAAGTTGAAGGAGGTCCCAGGATGCTCTGCAGGATGCAGTGACTGCCCAGTATGCAGTGAGGCAGAGAAGCAGACCTACAAGGGGGACCAGTTCTGTGGGATCCTCAAGAGAAGGGATGGGCCATTCAGGCAGTGCCATGAGACCATTGACCCAACACCTTACTTTGATGATTGTGTTTTTGACACCTGCCAGTACAAGGGTCATCACGACACTCTCTGCAGTGCCATCAGTGCCTACGTGACAGCCTGCCAATCTTTGGACATTGAGGTTGGGAAATGGAGATCAGACTCTTTCTGCAGTAAGTATTACTTTCTGAATCTGGATCTGAGTTCAGTTAAATATTGGGTGTTGATGGCCGCCATGCAGTCTTAGCATTTGGAAAAAAAACCCAACGATGAATCATTTGATAAGAATTTCAGGGTACCGTGTAAAAGACGACATTGTATCAAGGATTGCTTAGAGAGTTGCAACTCTGCAGGAATACTAGGTGGAATGACTCCCTGTGCTTTGGTTTTTTCCTGTAGCGCCTCACAGACCTCGGGTTAAGAACTTAATTCATTCCAGAGGTCCGTTCTTAACCTGAAACTGTTCTTAACCTGAAGCACCACTTTAGCTAATGGGGCCTCCTCCTGCTTCCGCATCGCCGGAGCACAATTTCTGTTCTCATCCTGAGGCAAAGTTCTTAACCTGAGGTACTATTTCTGGGTTAGCAGTGTCTGTAACCTGAAGCGTCTGTAACCTGAAGCGTCTGTAACCCGAGGTACCACTGTATTCCACATAGCATTAAGGAGACCATCCCGTCAGCCTGATGGAATGATCTCCCTTCTTTGCCCCAGGGTTCTCCCAACTCCCTAGAAAAGATTTGGGGGGAGTGTGGTGGCATGCAGGGGGAGGAGAATGGAGAAAAGTCCCATTGTCCTAGCAGGCATTGCACTAGCACATTGATTTAGTTCTGCACATCCCAAGATGCCCAATTTGTGCACATTATTTTCCAATGCCAAATTGAAGAGTATGTTTGGGAGTATGTTTTTTTTAAAAAATGGGTATGTTCTTTAAAAAAATTATAATTGGGAGTATGTTTTTTTTTAAAAAATGAATGATTTCTTGAACTGCTGCATGAGCACAAAGAAGGTATTGCATTGTTAAATTAGCAGTTACCATTCCCCCAAATACATAGGGGTGCTTCATTTTCACCCAACTCCAGAAATGAGTGTCAAGGAGGGGGCCATTTTCCCAAGTCCTCCCTCCAAGCTACTAATCAATCACACGCAGGCACTGAACAGGTTGCCAAGCTTTATTGTCTTCTTCTCTTTTTTTTATAAATTTTTTATTAGGGTTTTTACAATATTACAGAATAGAAAAAGAAAAAAGAAAAAATACAAATAAAAACAGTTAAAAACAGTCAATCTTTTCATCACTTATTTTTCATTTACTTGTTTCCTGGACCTCCTCATACCTCCCTTTTTTGTATTCCAGTTCTATTTATTAGTTCAGCAGTTTCTTTCCCTCTTTATTTTACCCTGATCTTTAATCTTAAATTATTATAACATTAAATTTTACTTATAAAAAACCATTTTTTCCTATTCTTTTGTACCATTACAGCTAGAAACCACTTAATTTCAATCCAACATCGTTCTAACATTCATTAATTTTGCAGTATTTCTGTAGATAGTCTTTAAATTTCTTCCAGTCTTCTTCCACCGACTCTTCTCCCTGGTGCTTTATTGGCTTCTTCTCTGGCACAAGCCACAGAACATCAAACAGCAAGTTGAAAACATGGCATCTTTTCTCCCTTCCCCAGAAGGTTAGCTCGAAGATTTATAGGGGTTGGGGAATGCTGGCAAGAAGCCAGCCCCTTCAACTGCTCCCACTTTGGGAACTAATTGTTACCACCTTCCTGAGGGGCCCCACCCAGAGATACTTGCTCACATAATCACTACTTCATGACAAACCTAAGTTTTTTGTCCCTCATCCAGCCCACCACTGAATCTAGGCACCAGTTCATAACAGTCACAGCCCCTCCTGACTCAGATGCAACAGAATAAGCACTAGAATAAGCAAACTGCAAGTATTTTTTGTGGTGTGTGTGTGTTAAGAGGACATTTTGAACCACATGGTGCCCAAAAGTCTTCACATAATAACACTTTGGTGGTGCTTTTGCTGAGCCTTAGTTATATTCCAAAGGCTGGTATAATTGTCTTTATTCTTTACTTCCAGGACTTCCCTGTCAACCCAATTCCCACTATCAGCTTTGTGGAAGTGGTTGTCCAAGCACATGCCAGAACCGTTCCTCCACCATAAAGTGTGGTGCACCATGCGATGCACCATGTACTGAAGGATGCTTTTGTGATCCTGGATTCGTGCTCAGTGGGGATCAGTGTGTGCGTCTTGCAGATTGTGGCTGTGTGCACCAGGGCAGATACTACAAAAAGGGAGAGGAGTTTTATCCCAGTAGCTCCTGCCAGGAGAAGTGCCGCTGCCTGGACAATGGAGCCACCAAGTGCCAGCCTTTCTCCTGTGGAGCGCATGAGGAGTGCAGGGTGGAGAACGGTATCCAAGGCTGTCACCCTGCGGGATATGGTACAGCTATAGCCCTTGGTGACCCCCTTTATATTTCCTTTGATGGACAAAGCTTTCACTTCCATGGCTCCTGCACTTACACCTTAGCCAAAGTCTGCAGCACAGACCCTCGGCTACAGAATTTCTCCATTTTGGTGGAGAATGAGAAGCTTGGAAATGGGCACCTTGCTCAGATAAGGAAGGTTGTGGTCTCTGTTCACCAGCACACTATTGTCCTCGAAAGGGGAAGGAAATGGATAGCTATGGTATGTATGGGCTACTCATATCAGATTATTTCAAATAAAAGGGATGTGGGTGGCGCTGAGGTCTAAATCACTGAGCCTCTTGGGATTGCCGATCGGAAGGTCAGCGGTTCGAATCTGCTTGGTGGAGTGAGCTCCCGTTGCTCTGTCCCAACTCCTGCCAACCTAGCAGTTCGAAAGTACACCAGTGCAAGTAGATAAATAGGCAGGAAGGTAAATGGCGTTTCTGTGCACTCTGGTTTCCATCACGGTGTCCCATTGCGCCAGAGGTGGTTTAGTCATGCTGGCCACATGACCTAGAAAGCTGTCTGTGGACAAACGCCAGCTCCCTTGGCCTGAAAGCGAGATGAGCGCCACAACCCCATAGTTGCCTTTGACAGGACTTAACCGCCCAGGGATCCTTTACCTTTACCTATGATTTCAAATGAATAACACGTCCTTCTTATGCAAAGGGAGTCCAAAGTGGCTTGTAGTCATAAAATTACAGGAAAACTATTTGGTATAGTAATTAAATTGGGTGTTTTTTTAAATGATGATATTTCTTTAGATCACTGGAATGAAAAACAGCATGTGCAAAAGGATGTGTGTGTGTCTTTTGTATTTGTGTGTGCTTGAGAATTTGTGTGTGCTCAGAGCTGACCCCCATGAACATGCTTCTTTCTTCTTTGCTGATGCAGGTGGATGAAGAATTCTGCACTTTGCCAGTGAATAGAGACGAGGGGAATCTCTGGATCACTCAGGAGGGGATCAATATAATTGTCCAGGCGTCCTTTGGCCTCACAGTCCTTTATGATACCTCTTCCTACGTCCGTGTGACTGTCCCCAGCACCTACCAGGGACACATGTGTGGTCTGGGTGGCAATTTCAATGGTGACGAGAGGGACGATTTCATGCTCCCTAGTGGGGAATCCGCACAAACGGTGGATGAGTTTGGGGCCTCCTGGCAGGTCCCTCTGGATGGTGCCATCTGCTCCAATGGCTGTGGTGAGGAATGCCCCACTTTTGATACAGCCCAGACAGCACCGTATGAGAACGAGGACTCCTGTGGAATGATCACGTCCGAGACAGGGCCATTCAAAGACTGCTCCTCATTAGTAAGCCCCTCGGATTACCTTGAGCAATGCCTGTATGACTTGACCGCGGCCAAAGGGGAGCAGGAGTATCTCTGCCGAAGCCTTCAAGCCTATGCAGCTGCGTGCCAGTCTGCTGGAGTAAAGATTGGAGCCTGGAGAACAAAGTCCTTCTGTCGTAAGTTGGATGAAAAAGTTTCTTCATCTCTGCCTTTTCAGTAGTGAGTCTCCCCCAAAGTAATCTGAGCTACTGGTTGAGTTATGTGAGTTTCAGTGCTATGCAATCACTTGTTCTCTCACCTTTTTCCTCAACCTTTTTCACCCTCTTATCTTTCCACGGGGTTCCTGTTTTTCAACCCGCTGCCTTATTTTGCAATCTTTCTTGACTCTGAGTTCCTTGTAAGGTAAAGGTAAAGGGACCCCTGACCATTAGGTCCAGTAGTGGCCGACTCTGGGGTTCCAGCGCTCATCTTGCTTTATTGGCTGAGAGGGCCGGTGTATAGCTTCCGGGTCATGTGGCCAGCATGACTAAGCCGCTTCTGGAGAACCAGAGCAGTGCACAGAAACGCCGTTTACCTTCCCGCTGGAGCGGTACCTATTTATCTACCTGCACTTTGACGTGTTTTCAAACTGCTAGGTTGGCAGGAGCAGGGACCGAGCAACGAGAGCTCACCCCGTCGCGGGGATTCAAACCGCTGACCTTCTGATCGGCAAGTCCTAGGCTCTGTGGTTTAACCCACAGCGCCACCCGCGTCCCTCAAGTTCCTTGTGAGAGGGCCTATAAATGCAGCAGGTCTGGTTTACATTGTTAAGTAATGCACATTGCCACTCTGCCTGGCATAGGATATCTAAATCCAACATAGGATACCTCAAAATAACAATTGCCTAATATTACCAATATTTATGATTTACATATTTATTCCCTGAGAGGTTGGAATGTTTGCGAACACTTCCAAGTCAGCTATAGTGTCAGAAGCTTCTGTGCCATAATATTGATGAAGCAAAATGGTTGAAAATAATTGTTTTCATTTTGGAAAGCCTCCCTATTCCATGTTTGTCAAACATTACTTTTTCTGCTCTCTCTCTCTGTAGCCCTCACCTGCCCAGCCAATAGTCACTATGAGACATGCACAAAACCAGTTTGCGATTTCAGCTGTGCCAGCTTGTCCACTCCACTCCAGTGCACCAGAAAATGCTTTGAAGGCTGTCAATGTGATGATGGCTACTTATTTGACGGAGATACATGTGTGCCTACAGACAAATGTGGCTGCATGCATGATGGTCTCTACCTCAAAGTAAGTCTTTGTATCCCAGTTATCGGGGTTCCCATATAGAGGGGCCAGCGCAAGTGGTTTATAAGGATGGGAGAGAAATTTGATTCAGTTCGCATATAAAGGTGAACCTACTTTCCAAGACAATGCAAGAACTGAAACATTGCCATATTTTGAAATTCACACTTCTCTGAATTTTGCAATGTAGTTCTCCAGCCAAGTAATGTGTGTATAGAAATGCACATATTTGTGAAAACAACATGCAAGATGCATGCTTTGCAAAGTTGTATATATTAGGCACAACTGTGTTAAAAATGTATACGGAGAAATTTTCACTGAAACGCTGATGAACTTTCACAAGGCCTTTTATAATAAACATTCACAAAGTGATGTGGAAATGTGGAGAACTGATTGGGAAATGGAGAGAAACCGAAACAGATTGTTCAATAATGAAGGATATGATTTTACAAATAACACACATACCTCTAATGGAAGGGAGAATGCGACTGCGCTCATGTCATGCTTATGGCCTTCCTGTGGGCATTTGGTTGGCCACTGTGAGAACAGAATGCTGGACTAGATAGTCCTTTAATCTAGTAGTGATTTTACATTCTTAAATAAACAAAATACATTTTTATAAGATGAAGTAGTTGTTACTGCTCTGCATCCAATGCTGAAAACCCTCTTCAAGACACAATCTAAACCCAGGATCCATTTGGATGAGTGAATTCGGAATAGGCAGATCTTCAGCTGAGCCTCGGCTAAGCCCAGGGGTGGCTAGGACATTTTGCTGCTTGAGATAAACTTCCCAGCACCACCTGGTCAGTCACATGACTAGTGTAACCCTGTGCAACTTATGTTGACGAAAAGGGTGGTGTAAGTGAAACTCTGCTTCAAAGTCTTGTTTTATCTCTGCCAATCTCAGGCCAGCTCAGCCATCAGTAGCCTTGCTACTGAGTGGAGTTTGGAATAGGGGTAACGTACACTGGGTTAGTTTTCCTTAAGTCAGAAGTAAACTTGTGCATCTTTTACATGGGAAATCAGCATGTGAACGTTCTAAATAAGCTAACACCATTAAATAAAAAGAAATTGCTGTTGGAAAGTTTGCATTATTTTCCAACTCCCCTAACTTTATTTCTTTATGCGGGAATTTCCCAACCGGCTGGAGAGAGCATCTTCTCAAGCAATTGCATGCAGAAATGCACCTGCGGCGACTTGGGCAAACTTACCTGCGTTAACAGCAGCTGCCAAATAGACACCTGCGCACTTAAGGATGGGCATCGTGCCTGTGAGAGCATGGAACGTCTGGAGGGCGGGTGCAGACTCACCCCTGGAGCCCAGCTCAGTTCATTTGATGGTGCCTCAGGGAAGTACTTCTGCGATGGAGTTTATGACTTGGCCTCTGTTTGTGACGAAAGTGCCCCCTTCTGGTTCAGGGTGTCCGTGAGCATTGGAAAGGACAATGGGGATGGCTTGGTAGCTGGGAGAGCAGTCTATGTTTTCTTCCCTGATGCATCCATCACTGTCAAAAAGAACAACAGGACATGGGTAAGTAGAGTTCAGGATGGAGTATGCCATGGGGAAAAATATATCTAGTTCCTAATAATATATATATCTTCTTATGACTTGTCTATGTGTTCATCACTAGTCACTGCAGCTTATTATTTGCTTCCATGATGTGTGGGCTTATCATAGCCTGCTGTAAATGAACAGAGAGGAAGAAGCCCCCAAATAACTTGGACCCCCCCTTAAATGTCTTAGCTTTAAAAAGTCAGTTATTCAACTTTGATTGTTTGTGAAGTCTGAAAGTATACATCAGGAATGGCAGATCTGTGGCCCTCCAGATGTTACGGGATGACAACTTGCATCATCCCTGACCATTTACTTTGTTAACTGGGGTTGATGGGATGTTCACAGGGTCCCCACCACTGGGACGTATCCACAATAGTTTGACTATATTGGGGAGTTTAGAACTTACAGCAAATTCATGGTATTTTCAAAGTGACCTGAGCCAATGGTGATTTGGGGTAACTCTGAAGCCACAACCCCTAAAATAGCCATAGATAGTCTTTGTTTACAATAATCCTACTTGAGGCTTCCTTCACAATAAGGTGCAGGACCATAGCTCAGTGGCTATCAGGCTTGAGGAATCCTCCCCCCCCGATGGCACCAATAGGCAGGAAAGAAAGTTCTTACGTATGATTTATTCAGTCATCACGATAAAAGACAAAGAATTTCGGTCATAATGGAGCTGCTCGCACTGAGCTCCTCCCCCTTCCCTCTCTTGCAACAACACCTGCTTCTATGGCGTCTGTCCGTGGACAATTGTCTATGTGCTCTTTGTTCTACCACTCTTAACAAACACTGCAATTTGAGAGAAGGGGTTGGGGGTTGGGTATGCTGTCCAGTGATGTGTCAGCTAGTTTCTCTGCCTCCATCCCTCCTTCTCCTAACACAACATAACTCTGCTGTTTGCCTGTCTCTGAGCTGCTATCTTCCTCAAAGCCCTGCTGTAATTCAAGGCTGCCTTCCTCCTCTCTGGAAGAAACAGGAGAAGGGGGCGGGGGCGGAGATCTCCACCATTCCTCCTCCTCTTCAGTACAATCCCTGACAGTGGCAGAGCATTTTCTTGGCATGCAAAATGTCCCAGGTCCAGTCCGAGCTAGAACTGGGAATATGCCCTGCCTGAAACCCTGGAGAGCTTCTGCTAGTCATTGTGGACAATAATGAACTAGATGTACCCAATGGCCTGACTTGGTCTAAGTCACCTTCCTATGTTACCAAGTGGGTTGGCTGCTTCCCATCATAAAAGAGATTCTCTGGACTATTACGCAACCCCTTTTTATATACTAATTGGCATTTGCTTGCTTGGGAAAGTATACGGTAATTAATCCATGGAAATAATTAAAAGTTGCACAGTCCAACTAGCTGGAAGATTAAGGTAGGTCCTCTTAAACAGTTTGCCTCCGATCTTTCCAAGACTGTTTTTAGAGGCACTCACAAGACAGAGTCCCCTGCCAAAGTGAAAAATGAAATCGTCCAGTGCCTGCTCATTTTTAATAATATGATGCTGAAGAGTAATGGAGGCAATCTCATGGTTTATGACAGGAAACCATCGTTTTTGGATGGCCGGAGGTTTTCCATCACTGCGCCTCCTTGATGGAGGATTACATTTTTCATCAATTTTTGCCTGCTTAGCAGCTGTTAAGGCACAGGGCCTAATTCAACCAAAAGGGCGTATTTCTCAAGAAATCTTCCATCTCATTCAACAGTGGAAGGCTAAAGCAGAGATAGCTTCCAGATGTTGTTGTACTGCAGCTCTCATCATTCATTGGCCATGCTGGCTTGGGCTGATGGGAGTTGAAGGCCAGCATCTGAAAGGCCATAGGGTTATGGTGATTTCTTCACTGATCCCTTTGCTCTTCGACGGTGGATGAAATTCAGCTTCTCCACATATACCTTTGTGCTCTTTTAATCAAGATTAATGGACTGCAGAATAACTACTTGTCCCCAGTTCTGTGCTGTCATTCACTATAAGAATATCTGGACTCCTGCCAGTCAAAGAGTTGGGCAATCTATCCTTTTGTTGTTGTTATTGTTGTTTAGTCTTTTAGTCGTGTCCGACTCTTTGTGACCCCCTGGACCAGAGCATGCCAGGCACTCCTGTCTTCCACTGCCTCCCACAGTTTGGTCAAACTCATGCTGGTAGCTTCGAGAACACTGTCCAACCATCTCGTCCTCTGTCGTCCCCTTCTCCTTGTGCACTCCATCTTTCCCAACATCAGGGTCTTTTCCAGGGAGTCTTCTCTTCTCATGAGGTGGCCAAAGTATTGGAGCCTCAGCTTCAGGATCTGTCCTTCCAGTGAGCACTCAGGGCTGATTTCCTTCAGAATGGATAGGTTTGATCTTCTTGCAGTCCATGGGACCCTCAAGAGTCTCCTCCAGCACCATAATTCAAAAGCATCAATTCTTCGGCGCTCAGCCTTCTTTATGGTCCAGCTCTCACTTCCATACATCACTACTGGGAAAACCATAGCTTTAACTATATGGACCTTTGTCGGCAAGGTGATGTCTCTGCTTTTTAAGATGCTGTCTAGGTTTGTCATTGCTTTTCTCCCAAGAAGCAGGCGTCTTTTAATTTCGTGACTGCTGTCACCATCTGCAGTGATCATGGAGCCCTTTACCATTATTTAACTCTGGTTGTGAATACCTAGGGAGTTACTAATAAGTGAATGGTGAAGCTGACTTGGTGTTGTTATTTAGTGGATGTAGCTTAAGTTTATTTAGAGTTGGTTCCAATGTTTTCTTGACTTTAGATGCTTAATGCAAAGTGAGCCTCTGGTGTATTCTACATGTTAATTCGCTTTTGCCTTTATTAGTTGGTGTGAATTCTGAGGTTCTTGCTGGCTCCTTGGCCTTCATCAAAACAAGATCTAATGCACCAATCTTTACATGTTCCAGGTAAATGGACGTCCAGTAAGCCTGCCATACAAGGTCTCTAAAGAGGTGTCTGTGAGCAAAGTTTACGATGGGATGCAGATTGACCAGGCCTCTCAGGTGCAGGTTCTCCTTCATCCCAGTGGAGAGGTGAGAGTGAAAGTCAGCAAGTCCCTCGCAGGGAAGCTGTGTGCCCCATGTGGAAACTTCAATGACGACAGCTCTGATGATCTGAAGATGCCCAGTGGGAAGGTGGAAACAAACGTTGCTGAGGTCCTACATGCCTGGAAGGCCAGAGACTTCTAAAAGGAGCATATTTCTCTGTGGGCGGCTGGTCTTTCTTAATACACAAGGACTGCAGATCTGCTTATTTTCAACTTATTTCTGAGCAGAGATGTAGGCAATTACACCATAGTTTCTCCTTTGGAAAACAACAACAAAAAACACAAAAATGGATTTTGTTGAATTATATTGTGTAGAAGCAATCCTGAGCTGACAATAACAAGGCTGACTCTTCAGTGACCCATTAGTTACATTAATACCTAACTGCATTGTTTGTGATGAACACTGTATTATTATCAACTGAAAAATAGTCAAGCAATGAACGTCAGATATAAAATTGTTATCCGTGGCAGTGTGGGGAAACAGTTTTGTGGTACCTTAAAGACTAAAGCGGTGTATACACAAGTATGTTTATTGCACACATGGGTCACAAAGATCATGTTTTTCTGTGTGGCACTTTTGTCTACAAAGGAGCACCTCCATTTTAAACCATTCAAATATTTATTAATTTTTTTTAGAAACCCTATATTTAGCTCTATTGAGCTTGCTTCAGCATTTTAGTGTGAACTTCTCCTAAAAACAGATTTTAATATACACTTTTGACTGGTGTGCACATTTTTGCAAGCATTTCCCCATAATATAATGCATTTTGTATGTTATTTTCACAAATATATTCATTTTTATGCACAATTTGCCCTAATATATGCATTTTTATTAACACTGGGTGTGTGTGTGTGTGTGTGTGTGTGTGTGTGAACTGCATTGTCAAATTTGGTTAAGTGTGAATTTTGAAGGACAGTTGTTTTTTGGTTCTCATATTGTTTCAGAAAGTGTGGATTTGATAAATTCAGCTTTAAACGTGACTGAATCAAATTTCTGCCTTGGCCTTGGGTGAGTTAATGGTGGTAACAAGAAAGGACCTGAGTCAGAACAAAAGTAAGAATGATATGTCATAAAAATTTATTTAAATCACTGTGGAAAATAATAAAATCATATTAACTTAGAAGTAACTGAAATGTAAGAATAAAAACAATATACAAATACAGTGGACGCTCGGGTTGCGAATGTAATCCATGCGGGAGGCACGTTCACAACCCGCAGCATTCGCAACCCACAGCTCTGCGTCTGCGCATGTGCGGGTTGCAATTTGGTGCTTCTGCGCATGCGCAAGCGCTGAAACTCGGAAGTAACCCATTCCGGTACTTCTGGGTTCGGAGAGGTGCACAACCCAAAAACGCGCAACCTGAAGCGTCTGTAACCCGAGGTATGACTGTAAAATGAAGGGCAATACAGTGGAACCTCGGTTGTCGAACGCTTTGGAAGCCGAACAATTCGGAACCTGAGCACCGACAACCCAGAAGTGAATGCTTTCATTTTTGAACATGTCTCGGAAGCCAAATGGCTTCTGTGGCATGTTTCTCAATTTCTTCAATGAATTTTGCCGACTGGCAATTGCGCCTTGGTTGTTGAACGTTTCAGAAGTCGAACGGTCTTCTGGAATGGATTATGTTCAACAACCGAGTTTCCACTGTAGTATGCGGCAGGTGAAGGTGTATACCATTGTGTACTATTGTACATAAATGGAAAAGTACAAAATGAGATGTGTGCCTGGAGACAGGCAGTGAGGTTGGGTATCCATAGCAATGACCAGAGGAGGAATGTCCACCGGGAGGAGTACAGAGAGAAGAAACACCATGATGCACTTACATCTGCACAACCAGATGCCTCTATCTGCCCCAGCTGCAACAAAACATGTCTCTCTCGCATTGGTCTCTACAGCCACAGTAGGTGCTGCTACCTTCCAAAGTTTGTCTTTTCCTGAGGCAGACAGATGCTGACAAAATGAGACAAACGAAATTTTTACCTGGAACAAAAACAAGTTGTGAAACTAACTGCAAATACAACTGCTTTTAAAAAATGTGCATATTGGGCACATTTTTTATCTGCACGCCAACGTGTATATTAGGAGAAAAATCGCACTAAGAGGCCAATGAACTTCCACGAGACTTTGATTTTTAAGAAAATCACAAACTGATTTGGAAATGTGGAGAACTGAACTAGCAACTGGAAAATTAGAGAAATGATAATAGACAGATCCGGCCTTTCCCAGTCTGTTTCCAACATGCCTTGCTAAGAGGAGGACACTTCAGAGCCACTATCCGTCTCCATTTCATTAATTCTTTAAAGTCTAGTTCTCAGTATTGCCATTTGGCCCTTGTCACATGCCAGCCCTGCTCATATTAAGGCAAAAAGATAGGGGGAGATGGTGTCACAATTAAAATGCATTTTGTATCTTTGAACATGGTTTTAGTAAGCTGGCATCCCTAATAAACAGAAGCAATGGGTTAACCTGAGTATCTGGGAGCCTAGTTGGAATCAACACACATATAAAAAATGCTGTGATTTTTTTTTTTAAAAAAGTTTTGAAAAATACATTGAATTTTTGCATAGCTCACTGTCACCATCTAGTGTCTCATTTGTATATTACAGCACATTTAAAATTTTTTATTTGCAGCTGTGTAGCTGAGTCCCTAGTAAGTTAATCTTTGTTAGAAGCATTGATGCTTATGATATAGTCATAAATAATGATGCTTAAAAATATGTATCAAACCTCTTTATTCTGTTCTATTATTTTTTAAAAGTTAAAGTTCTGTTTTTAACCCAGTTTGATTGACCGTCCTAATTTTCAGAAGTATTTGGCTGTGTTCTAAGAACCTTCCCTGCTCCTCTGGATTCCTGTAAAAACAGTACCACTTAATTTCACCCTGATTTACAAGGCAATGTTTTGCATGTGTTTGATGACTGCAACATAGCATGTGAAAGTCTGGTTTTAAAAATGTCCACCAGAGGGCTGCTGCTTTGAATGCAGTGTTTTCACTTTATGCAAAGAGCAGGCAAAAAAGCTCAACCCTGATAAGTTTATCGTATTAATGACAGGAGCTGCATTTATAAATCCACACAATTTCATAAGGAAGAGAACAACTAAGTGGATGATTTTTGGAAGTGCATTTCATACGGCATAACTAGTTCACCAGTTTATTCTAATCAACACACATCCTTTACTGAATTCACTGAAAACCCTTGGTAGTCCCTTCCACATGCTTTCCATGTCAACAGAATCTTCGTGGATCTGCCACTCTACTATTGAAAATAAACCGAAGGTTTACATCAGCAGACTTCACAGCTTCCTCAAAACAGATTTTGATCTGAGAGTCTGCTTTGACTGGTGCAGCTATGCCAGGGTCATTATTCCCAAGACTTATGCCAATGCTGTCTGTTGACCTTGCTGCAATGCCAATCAGAATAACAATGATGGTTTTGCTATGAAGGATGGAACTCAGGCAAGGAATAAATCCCATTTGCAGGCGATTGGAAATTGGAGGAGGTCCCAGGATGCTCTGCAGGATGCAGTGAAACAGAGGGGACCAGTACTGTGGCATCTTTATCAGAAAAGATGGGCCACGCAGGCGGTGTCATGAGGCCATGGACCCAACTTTCTATTTGGATGCTTGTGTTGTTCACACCTGTCACTACAAAGGTCACCATGACATTCTGTTCAGGGCCATTAGAGCCTATGTGGTCACCTGTCAAGTTCAGGGCATGCAGGTTGGTCCATGGAGATCAGTTTTCTTCAGCAGTAAGTGGTGCTTTCTACTAGTGGTGGATGAATCTGTCAATTCTGGTTTCTCATTTTCCCAATCTTAAATTCAGTTCTCCGCATTTCTACAATGGTTTGAGAACCATCCTTTTAAGAACACTCATGCTAATGTGCATGCAGTTTTGACTAATATACACTCATGCTAATGTGCATGCAGTTTTGACTAATATACACATTTTGCAAGCAGTTTCCCCTAACGCTTATTTGTATGTTGTTTCCCCAAATATCTGGATTCTTTGGGGGGGTATACTTTCCTCTAATATATGAATCTTTCTACACATCAGTTGACTGGAGAACTGCATTGCATAGTTTGGAGAAGCTGTGTTTCAACTTGCATAATGGTTCAAGAAGTGAAAATTCGGTAGCTTCTCATTGAAATGAAAACAAAATCAAATTTTGTGTTTTTTTTAAATAATTTTTATTGATTTTCCAAATAGTAATTAAAAACACAACAAAAAACATAAACAAACATAAAATGGACTTCCCCATACCACCCCTTTTCTGCATCCTTGTTTCAAATTTTTCCAGCAACCCTTCCGTCATAGTCTTAGTTACTCTTTTCATAAATTTAACTTCCTTAACTTATTGCTAACAGCTGTAGTTCTTTGTCTCTTATCTCCCTGACTTCCTAATTTTCATCCAAATTACAACAGTTTTTAAGATATGTCTTAAATTTGTTCCAATCTTCCTCCACCGCCTCCTTTCCCTGGTCTCGAATTCTGCCAGTCATTTCTGCCAGTCCCATGTAGTCGATCACCTTCGTCTGCCATTCTTCCAACGTGGGTAGTTCTTGTGTCTTCCAATACTTTGCTAGAAGAATCCTTGCTGCTGTTGTGGCATACATAAAAAATGTCTTATCCTTCCTTGGCACCATTTGGCCCACCATACCCAAGAGAAAAGCTTCTGGTTTCTTGGAAAAGGTTCTCTTAAGAACTTTCTTAATTTCATTATAGATCATTTCCCAGAAAGCCTTAATCTTCGGGCAGGTCCACCAAAGGTGATAGAAGGTTCCCTCCGTTTCATTACATTTCCAACATTTGTTATTGGGCAGATGATAAATCTTCGCTAACTTAGCAGGAGTCATGTACCACCTATAGATCATTTTCATAATATTTTCTCTTAAGGCATTACATGCCGTGAATTTAACACCGGTGGTCCATAACTGCTCCCAGTCAGCAAGCTCAATGTCATGTCCAATATCCTTTGCCCATTTAATCATACTGGATTTTACCATTTCATCTTGAGTATTCCACTTCAACAGCAAATTATACATTCTTGACAAATTTTTAGTATTGGGTTCTAGC